AAATACTTTATGGATCTGGAGACGAAGTCGGGGCTTTTGTACCTGCCACTTGGCTCTGAGACTGCGACTGCGACTGCAACTTAATTTCTTACTGGTGCTGGTGGTGGTGCGGCTGCTGCTGCGGCAAGTACTTCATCATGTTTGGGGAGCAGTAAAAATAAATTAACAAAAGCCAGTGAGGCAGTCAGCCAAGTCGCAGTCCCCATCGCCTGGTCGTTCACCACTTCCCGACTCTAAAGTCTAGCTACTCAATATGAGTGGTAATAACTTGGCCAAGAGCCGTACCCTGCCCTGCCCTGCCCCGCCCTGCCCTGCCGTGCCGTGCGAACCGACTTTACTCCCTTGACATCAAAAGCGCAGCTGTGTGCCTGCTCTGCGAATGCTCTGATGCCGATGCCGATGCTGCTGCTGCTGTGGATCAAGTTCAGGCCTCGGTTTTGCCCAAATGCAGCGACAGGCAATAGCAAAAAAAGACTCATAAATTGATTTAGAAACAGACAAAAGGGAAATCTGTTTTACACTCTGGCTGCTGGGGAGGAAATGGTCTAGGAAATGTCTAGTACTTTGGTTCGGGAAAACAAAGATGGAGCCTCATTTGGATGACCGTTTATTGACTGGAACTATAGCATCAGTTCATGACGATTAAAGTTCTAAGAGTATCTGCAAATGAGCCCTGGAATTAGCCTCTGAAGCATCTGAAAGTAAAGGTCCGATAGTAATGCCCTTTGCCGGAATGATTCCTCCCAGCTTATGCCTCAAGTAATATCCCCGTTTCCCAGCCAAGGGTATGCGCAGAGTTATTACAAGTTGTATGGAGGCCCTGCTCGGCTTTCAAAAGTTATGCCCATTCCCTGAAATGATTGGCGAGAGCTGCCGCAGTGCTCTGTAGATCTGTTTTGTACGGGTATTTGTGTATCCGTGTGTCTGTGTGTATGCAAAACAAGTTGCAAGCGACACGTAGGTGGCTTTGAATATTGAAAAGTCGTTCTGCAGCCTCTCCTGCGGCGGATTGAGACCTCCCAGTGGCACTGGCACTGGCACTGGCAGTGGCAGTGGCCCGGGTGGCAGCCCCAAAAAACGAAAGACTCAAGCCACAAACTTGAGGCCGAAACTCGCTCGGCCCTAATGCGCTGGCCAAGACACTTTCACTGCGATCGTCGATTTTGCCATTCTATTCTTTTGTCTGTGCCTCCGATGCGACACTCTCGGCCAGAAATAGAAAGTGCTGATGGCGACCAAAAAAAAAAAATACAAATACAAAATTCGATTGCTTTTTTCGTCACGCTTCTTGCCGTTTCTTTTCTTTTCACTTGGCACGCATGCAAATTTTCGCCACAAAAACTTGGCAAAAAAACACAATATGATCCCAATCCGAATCCCAATCCGAAATGGCCAATAAATGTAGCAACGAAAGTGAAGTGGATATTGCGTGGCAATTATGCGACTGATTTTTCGGAATCGTCTGAACAATGAAATTAAACAGAAGCACACGCTGCCGTGGCCATAGCCCTGGCCCCCTGCTTATGGATTGTACGGTTAGAGCCATCAAAACGGGTTGGCCATTAATATTAGCGTGTCTCTATTGTTGGGCCTGGCCAACAGCAGCAGGAGGTCGTTGACCAAAGCCAGAGCCAGACCCAGACCAAGGCACGAACCTCGACCACCAGCGCCGACCACGACAACGAGAGCTCGAGGAAATTACGAGTATACGAAATGCCAGATCCGCGGAAACTCGTGTATTGACCAACGGTCATAAATTTGCATAATTCGCAATTGCAGGCTAAACGCCAGTGTTTAAACAATCTCGAAATGTTTCATAAAACATGATTATTGTCAACGCCACGCCACGCCGCTGTCCGCGCTTATGCAATGCCATCTTTCGGGGCGGCAGCTGATTGAAAATTCCCATACAATCGACCAACAAAAGGGGAAAATGAGCCCCGCCGAACCCCCGAATCGAAACGCGTGTGGCATTTCCTATCGCTTTGAGGCCCATGACTTTTGTCACAGCTGCTGTCGGGCCATTTCATATTCAAATATGTTGGCCAAGAAAAACTCTCACGCGCTGACAGGCCAAAGAAAAATGGGAAATGTCTAACACACACACACACACACACACACAGATGCAATGCCGCCTGGAGTTTCAGCCTTTTTTGAGTTGTTTTCATTTTTGTGCCTCTTTTGCCGGGGGGGGTTTTCTTGATTCGGTCTCTCTTTATTGCATCACGATTCCGCAATACATTTGACAAATTTATTTTGATTAGAGGCAATTTCTTTGGAAGTGTAGACATGAATTGAATCTCGCTTTGATTGAGTTGTGCTCTTTTTTTTATTATTATTTTTATGGGCCTGCTATTGGCTGTGGTCGTACTTTATTTATGCTCAAAGCATAAAGGGTTGGGTAACTTTAGAAGACAGAAAATATAGGAATTCGTTTGTTGAAGATTGGAATTGTGTGGACTATGATTACACTCTTTTTATAGGACTTTTAGCATTCATCATTTGCCACTTTCAGTTTTCAAAAGTCTAGTCTTAATACACCCCTTAAATGCTTCGTTTTTCAGGCAATTATAAATAATTGTTCGGCTTGATGATTGATTCCCCGAACTGTTAGATAAACTTCCATTGAAAAATAAGCAAAAATCTTTACAGTCAAACAATGACATCTATAGGAATCAGAGACTAGCTGAGACTTGTTTTGAATTCTCCATAGCCCACATTTCATATGACACGATGCAGCTTAATTTATCACCATTAAATGAGAATCAGCCAGGCCAGGCGAATTTTCTGCTTAATTTGTAGACATTTCATTTCTAATAGATTTTGAGCATGAAAATACACAGATTTCAGAGGCAGAAGAAACCGAAACAGCAACAGATACAGATACAGAAAGAGCAACAGAAACAAAAAAAAACCGAAATCGACGAAACAGAATGGCAAAGAATCAAGCTGATTAATGCAAAACGTGGCAGTTGGCACCACTTGTCACAGTTTCCATTAGGTCATCGCCGCATTTACATATAGATTTGAAATATTTCAACTGTGCGTTGGCCAACTAATGGAATCGTTATGGCCTACCATCTGCAGCATATGGGGGGGGGGGGGGCAGAGATCTCCCCGAGAGATCGGAGAGGAGGGGCGTGAGAAAATTGAGAAAGTTTCGCTTTGGTTCGGTGCAGGTGGCAGATTAGCAACTTTCCTTGGCCGCTCAGATCCGGCGGCGTTCTCGGGGCAGAAAACAGCGAAATAAAAGAAGAAGAAAAAAAATTGGCAATCATTTGTAAACAATGTGTGAGGCGAGGTCCACCTGGGGTCTGGGGACTATTGACTGTTTGGCTGCTGAGAAGTAAGAAATACGCCGAGCATGACCCACTTTCGAGCCATGTTTACTTCTCTCTCTATCTATCACTGTGGCCCTCTCTTTCTAAACAACTTTTTAGGCAAATTAGCAGCTGCAGAGGCATTGAAAGTTGCTTAACCACTTGCCGAAAAATATAAAAAAAAAAAACAAAAACAAACCATGGCCAGAACTTTACAAATGCTGGCTATTACGTAGCCAAAGCCGGGAATGGCTATGGGAATGGGTATGGGAATCGGTGACAATAGCAACAAGTTGTCTACGATTGCAACTAATTTCAAGATAACTCTCGAAACACTCTCGACGCCTGTTTCAATGCCAAATCGGTAAACTGGGTCAACAATTTATACGAGTACTGCATATATACTATGTACCCATATATATATATATATATGCGTTCGAATTGCCTTTTGTTTTGTCTTGTTGCTATTTTCATTTCGATTGTCCCAGGAATGTCTTTGGGCCTGGGGCCTGCTGATCATTCAATTAGTTAATTCCGCTGCGTGTATTTCTGCTGTCTTCCGCGTGCAAAACTGTCTGCAATTAATATGCATGGACAAATGCAACAGCAACAGCCACGACAACGACAACAAAAAGCGGCTCAAGTTGCAGACTTAAGCCGTTGGCAACATTGGGACAAACTGTGGGAATACCGACTCGATAAGGATAAGGAAATATCAGTCCTATAAGCTTTTTCTTTAAAATACAATTGCTAAAGGCCGTTCGCTTGCTGTTCTCCCTCATTAAAAATATTTCTGATAAAAGCTAACAAAGAACATTCCCCAGCTATAAATAAATCCATAGAAGCTAGTTAGTATTTTCAGTATCTTTTAACCACTATTTGTGGTTTTACAGATTGTACTACAATTTAGTGCTATCTTCTATGCTGGAAAAGTTTGTTCCTTGCCAGGCTTTAAAATGGTTCTCATTCGAGTCGTTTTCTACCGCTTTTCGGCCACTGTTCCGGGCCCAGCATCAGCTGCAAAGTGTCTATGCAACTTGAACTCGGCAACTTTGCAGCTGCTTGGCTAACTGCACTTTGCAGCCATTAGTTTTGCAGGCCGAAAGCATCAGCCATCAGCCCCTCTCCCTGCCCCTCTGCAACATTTGTAGCTGTTGATTTTGTTGACAATGCTAACGGATGCTGGGATGTTGCTGAAAGCTGGATGCTGGGATGCTGGCTCAGCTGCATAATGCTGCAATCCTTTTGCCCAGTCACTTATCAGTCATTTGCGAGACCAAGTCTTTGGCTGTGGCTGTTGTTGCTTGTACCTTGCATAATATGCAAACGTGAGAAAATGTTTCGCCAAAGAAAGTGTGAGAGAGGGAGACCCCATGGAGGAGTACGAGTGTACAGAGAGAAAGAGAGAGGGGGAGGGGTGTTTGGGTGGAAAGCTATATGTTTCATTATGCGATTACTCGCATGTGGAGCACAGACAGTGCGCGACAAAAGACACCACACCACACAACACATAGCCGCAGCGGCGTTGACGATGACGATGATAATGATGATGTAATGAATAAAGCTTGCTTTTTTTGGGAAAGTGGCTTAATGGCACAGTCCACGCACACGTGTGCAAACCGCATTGAAACCCCAACCTCAACTCATACTCATTTCTTTGTGATCTCTCACTCATTTCAGCTCACTGACGAGGTGCTGCGCAAGAAGACCGAATACCAAAAACATTTGGAGGGCTACAAGGCGCTGCGCACGCGTTTCGAGGAGCACTACATTAAAGGTAACCCGATCCCGAACCCGATTTGGAATCAAAAATGCTGATCTCTCGTTTTCAGCACCCGGTCGGAGTGGCCGCAAGCTGGACGATGTGCGCGACAAATATCAGAAGGCCTGCCGCAAGCTCCATCTCACCCACAACGAGTACGTGCTCTCCATCTCGGAGGCCATCGAGGTGGAGAAGGACTTTCGCACGGTCCTGCTGCCGGGCCTGCTCGAGCATCAGCAGTCCGTCCAGGAGAGCTTCATCCTGCTGTGGCGCAACATTCTGCAGGAGGCTGTCCAGTACGGGGATCTCACGGCCGACAAGTACAAGGAGATCCAGAAACGCATCGACACTGTGATAGGTGGCATCAATCCGGGCGAAGAGTATGGCGAGTTCACCGAGAAACACAAGTACGTTGCAGCTTCATGGAAACCCCCCTGAATCAATACTGATTGCTCTGATCTTCCGCAGAACCTCACCGACAACGCCGCTACTCTTCCAGTTCGACGAGACGCTCATCGAGGACATACCCGGCAAACTGCAGTCCAGCACGTTGACAGTGGACAACCTCACGGTGGACTGGCTGCGCACACGGCTCTCGGAGCTGGAGGGATCCGTGAAGGAGTGCCAGGAGAAGCAGCTCAAGATGATTGAGCATGTCAACGGTGGCTCGCCGGTGGCCAACGGCAGCATAATCTCGAACGGCAGCAACAGCTCCAATGGCATACAGTCCAACAAGGACAGCCAGTGGTAGGATAGCTCCCCGAACGCTATAGATCACTGTAATTCTCTCTCTCTCAACAGTCGCCAGTCCAAGGACCTGAATGCCCTGAAATGCCAGGAGAAACAGAAACAGAAGCTGGTGGACATGATCAAGTGCGCTCTGAACGAAGTGGGCTGCGAGGAGCTGCCCTCCGGCTGCGACGACCACCTCACCCTCGAGCAGACCTTCATCGAGAATGGCTACAACAACGAACAGCAGGTGGGTTGGCACGTTGCCCCTTGGGTTGTGGCTAGTCCTAAGTTGTAGGTGGTTTCTGGTCTAGCTCTAATGATAACTAATCTTCTGCCATGAAACGATTTCTTTCTCTCTGGATGCCGCCCTCTGTCCCATCCACACATACCACACAACACACTCGAAATCTAACCCATTTGAAACCCCTACCTCCAATCCCACACGGGATGATGCTGGGAGCAGCGCTCCAACTCCACCAGCTCTCCAGGGCTGGGCATCATGAATGAGCTGATGCGACGCGGGGGAGTCCTCACTCTGCTGCGCGGCCGTGGGCGCCACTTCAAGCGCAAGTCGACGCCGCAACCGACGACGCCCATGACACGGACGCGCCAGGGACGCTTCTCGAAGATGCAGCCGCGCTCCCAGAGCCTCGGATCGTTGTCGGTAATTAGGGATGCGCGTAGTCCTGCACGTTACGAGCCCATTACTAACCCGCTGCGCCTGGCGGCCAGCGTCCACTACTTGGGCGAGGAGATATCCCTCAGCTCGTCGCCGCCGGCCCTGCCGCGACTGCGTCGCACCCAGTGTTCCATGTTGTGTTTGGGCGAGGACGAGGAGCCGCTGGAGCCGTTGCCGGCGGTCTTCTCGCCCGCCCCGCTCACCCAGCTAACCGTTGCCGTTATTACTAACACTAACAACAATCACATCTACGCGGATCTCGAGCTGGGCCTGAAGATTCCCCATGCGGACAGTCTCGCCAGCGAGGCGGAGGAGGAGGAGGAGGCGGAGCTGCCCGCCCCGAAAGAGCAGATCAAGATAGAAATCAATCAGGCAGAGCCACAGAACTCGATTGATGCGCATTTGGACAGGATCGATGAGCTGAATCGAGTGCTGGACGATCGCTTGAAGCGAAGCCTGCAGCCCACGACGCCCAACGATGATGTGAATGCCATCGAGAGCATGGACGAGGTGCAGACCCGCAAGCCTGCACCCAGCGATGTGGACGCCCAAACGAAGCGCAGCTCCAGCTCCAGCTCGGAGTGCCGCTCCTCCCAGCTGTCCTCCAAGGATATGGGACACTCGAAGAAGCGCTCGCTGTCCTTCACCCAAAAGTCCATCAGCAACATCTTCAGCAATCTCAAGGAGTTCTCCAAGAGTCCCCTGGTGCGAATGGGCAAGAGTGCGACGGTGAACGAGGAGCAGCAGCACCCAGAGAGGCCCCAGGCCCCGAACGACCAGCATTCCAGCAGCAGCGAGTCCCAAACGAATCCGAGCAGCAGCAGCCAGAACAACAACAATACCAGTAGTATTAGCAATCACAGTGCCTCACAGTCCACGATCATCACGAGCACGATCACCACGACGATCACTACGACCACGTCGTCTGCGACGCCGTCCAAGGAGACCTCAAGACTGAAATTCAAAGTGCCAAAGATCCAGAACAAATCGAAAGCCATCCGCAATACATTCCGATCCAAGCTGCTCAACTTCCAGCTGAAGCGATCCAAGCCCTGCAAACAGTGCACCAAACGGAGGCGCATCCACCCCAGCAAGAGTGTCTTTGACTTTGCCAAGGAGTTTGACACGGAGACCCAGGAGGGTGCCGCCGAGGAGCAGTTCTGCAGCTGCCCCGCACCGGCCCCAAAGACGAAGCTGCCCATTCAGATGGAGCGGAAGTTCGAGTCGCACAGCTCCGGGGAGCTGGACGAGAACGACGGCGATGACCGGGACCGGGACCATGATAACGATAACGATAACGAGGATAGCATCAGCGACGATGTGCTCAGCATGAAGGAGCACTGCTACTGCATTCCCAGCTTGGCGGCCAGTGTGAGTTCCCGTAACCGTCTCCCGTCTCTCGTCTCTCGCATTCGACAGCGACAACAGCACCCCCTCCACCGTATCAAGAGTATCTAAGCAACCGGACGCCGGATGGCGCCTCCTCACAATGAACAAAACAAAAACCGCATCGCCTTTTGCCTCTATTTGCATGTTTGATTGATTGTTTGTGCATGTTTCAACGTTTACGTTCAATATTGAAAGCATGTGGGGGAGAGCTTTTTATTGCGGGATCCCAAAAATAGAACACAGGGTGCTCCCAATTCAAATAGATCTTTGACGGAAGTTCTTGGCTTAGGGTATGAGAACTATGTGTCTCGGTTTGGCCAAAGCAGGAGAGACACAATTACTGGTATTTCCTAAGAGAAAAAGGTGGGGAAACATGGCCTTAAAAGGACTGCAGAACCTTTCCATACAGAGAGGTTACAGAAGGGCTTTACAAATCTGTTATAAATGGGGATAAAAACGTTGAGAATAGCTTTGCATGTTGTATCTTTCTTTTACAGAATGGATTTTATATCAGAGGATAATACACCCTCAACTTAGCATTTCCTTTGACCCTCTTTTTAGATGTTCCACACTGATTGACTGAAAGAGTATTTATATTTCGATCTGCCAGAAGTATCTTTCTCCCTTCCGATATCTAAATTTACGTGTGCGTGCCACAAAGAGATACAGAGACACACTGGCTCTCTCTCTCTCTCTCTATCCTAGATACAAGTTCAAGTGAGAGCATAAAACGATTATAGCTTTTAGTTCTCCCTGATCCGACGAACAGTTTGGACACTGGGCCGCAGGCAGTAGGCACTAGGCAGCCGCTGCCATTAATCTCTCTTGAAAGTCTCTTGAAATGTTTGGCGTCTGTTTGGCCAGTGAAAAGTTGGAAATCATATTTGTAGAACGCGTGTTTTCCATATTGCGCAAGTACTTGGACAGTTGATAGTATCCCTATACGTCCATAATGACCAGCAGCAGCACATCCGGTCGGAGCAGTAATGGTGGCCCCGATGGTAGCGGGATCTTTGAGACCTTTGTCTTTGCCGGTCGCCCCGTGCCGCCGGCACGTAAGAAAAGACCCAAATCGAAAGTATTTGTGAGTCACACGAGCGTCAGCCTTGAACGTAGATCTTCTGTATTGTCCATAACCATATCCGATGTAGTAATAATATTTATTTTTATATGCCTCTTGCTTACAGTATTTTATTTTAATTTGCGTGTGTATCTATGTATCTCTGTATCTCATTAAAAAAAGGCTGCTGCATTTCGTCAGAGCCAATTGCACCCACGCATTTCCGTTCCACCGTTTGTGGAAATTGTGGAAATGGCGTGTTAAGCTTTCCATTCTATTTTATTTGCCATCGTTTCACTCTTTCTGTATTCCGTATTCTGTATTCTGCATGCCGTTCACTAATCTTCTGGCTAAGTGGGTAGAACATTTTGGCTAAGCTAATTGTCTGGCTCTTGCAGATATCTCTGTCCACGAATCGGCCGCTCTACGAGGAGGAGTGGTTCCACGGCGTGTTGCCCCGCGAGGAGGTGGTGCGTCTCCTCAACAACGACGGCGACTTCCTGGTGCGCGAGACCATCCGGAACGAGGAGAGCCAGATTGTGCTGAGTGTCTGCTGGAATGGCCACAAGCACTTCATCGTCCAGACCACGGTCGAGGGCAACTTCCGCTTCGAGGGGCCGCCCTTTGCCAGCATCCAGGAGCTGATCATGCATCAGTACCACATCGAGTTGCCCGTCACTGTCAAATCCGGTGCCATTCTTCGACGACCCGTCTGCCGGGAACGCTGGGAGCTGAGCAACGATGATGTGGTCCTACTCGAACGGATTGGCCGGGTAAGCATCCGTACTTGTTTGAATTCTGAAAGAGTTGGATATTTACTAGACTTTTCTGTTTCCAGGGCAACTTTGGGGATGTCTACAAGGCCAAATTGAAGTCCACCAAACTGGATGTGGCCGTCAAAACCTGCCGCATGACCCTGCCCGACGAACAGAAGCGCAAGTTCCTGCAGGAGGGCCGCATCCTTAAGCAGTACGATCATCCGAATATTGTCAAACTGATTGGCATCTGTGTGCAGAAGCAGCCCATAATGATTGTCATGGAACTGGTGCTGGGTAAGTAAGGGGGAAAAAGAATAAACAAGAAAATGTATTCCAACGAAATTAATATTTGATTCTACATACATTTCCAGGTGGTTCCCTGCTTACATATTTGCGTAAAAACTCGAATGGCCTCTCCGCTCGCCAACAAATGGGAATGTGCCGAGATGCGGCAGCAGGTAAGAGCCACATAAACCCAGTAAAAATCCCCAACTAAACCCATAAAATATTGTTAATTTAGGCATGCGATATCTGGAGTCCAAGAACTGCATTCATCGGGATCTGGCGGCGCGGAATTGTCTCGTCGATCTAGAGCACAGCGTAAAGATCTCTGATTTCGGAATGTCCCGCGAGGAAGAGGAATATATAGGTAGGGTTAATGATCTAAACAAACTCCAACTCAAACTAATCTGTATTTTGTTCTGGAACAGTTTCCGATGGCATGAAGCAAATACCCGTGAAATGGACAGCGCCAGAGGCCCTGAACTTTGGCAAATACACGTCCCTGTGCGATGTCTGGTCCTACGGCATACTGATGTGGGAGATATTCTCCAAGGGAGATACACCTTACTCGGGCATGAGCAATTCAAGGGCCAGAGAGCGCATCGATACAGGCAAGGAATCAACTTAAATTATACAAAATAATATAATGTAATAAAATGGTTGTATATTAATAATAGGATATCGCATGCCAACGCCGGAGAATACGCCGCCAGAGATGTATCGACTGATGCTCAAGTGCTGGGCCGCCGATGCCGAGTCCCGGCCACATTTCGATGAAATCTACAATGTGGTCGATGCCCTCATACTGCGCCTGGACAACAGCCACTGAATGACTGAGTGTATCCGCGCATCCGGTAGCTGTAGCCGCATCTGTATCTATAACTTTAAGCATACTCAATGTAGGTTTAGTCAACGCTTTTAAAGTACGTCACGTCCTAGGACTTATCAACGAGATGCCTGTATTTCTGAGATACCATAAACCATACAACATACAACTGATACATTTTACCACATAAACGATATTTATATACCTACCTATATTTTTTCTAGCCATGTAATCTGTAAATTTTCGATATTTAATGGTATTTTGATGTACGAGCATGTGTGTATCCGTGACTGACTGAGTATGTATGATATAATGAATCCTTAATGTGCCAAAAACCGCAAGAACTTTAAAAGAAATTCTAAAAAAAATGTGTGTCTGCTTGAAGAACTGTATCGCGTAGGCCTAAGCTCATTGAATTTATATCCTTAGTTGTTTTTGTGTTTTTCTTTAGTTTAAACAACCAGATATTTGTAAATTATTCAAGCCTTACGTTGGTCAATTCGTTTGAAGACTCTGTATTCTGTGTATTGTATATTTATTTACACCTAATTTACATATTTTTACTTCGCCTACGATTACGATTATATATGTACTATATCTGTATATCTACGCTCTAAGTTAAAGCTTTAAGTTGTGCTGCGCTGCTGAAGTGAATAAATCATATGTGTACCGTGTACTTGTTGGATAGTTTTGATCCTACGCCTCCGGGTCATTCCGCAAAGCCAGTGGCACATCGGAGAACTCTACTTTGGCGTAGACTTTCTTCAGTTCGTTCTTCAGCTTCAGACTGTGCGTCCAGTCGACTGTTTCGCACACTATTTTCACCTCCACGGTGTAGATGTCCCTGAGCCAGGCACGTTCGTGCATAATATCCTTGATGGAAACCCCTTCGCGCACCAGCAGGTTGCACAGATCATTGATGCCGCCCGGCCGATCGCTGATCTCCACATTGAACTTGACCAGACGACCCACGGCAGCCAATCCTCGCTCCAGACAGCGCCCAAAGACTGTGGTGTCTATGTTGCCTCCACACAGCAGGACCACAACCCTAAGGAATGGGGTAAAATCAGTCGGGAATCCTATTTCAGGCACCCCAATCCCCACTCACTTCTTGCCCCTCAGTTCATCGAGATGTCCGGCCAGAATGGCAGCCAGACCTGCACCGCCAGCTCCCTCAACCACACACTTCTCCTCCTCCACCAGTCGGAGTATAGCCAGTGCAATCCACTCCTCCTTGACCACCACCATGCGATCAATCAACGGCATGGCCGTGGCATAGGCATTGTAGCCGACCTTCGGAACCGCCAGACCATCGGCCAGGGTGTTCTTTATGGGTGTATGAATGGGTCCCTTGTTCTTCATGGCTCCAGTAAAACTTGCGCACTTCTCCGACTCCACACCCTGGAAAAACAACAGAATACAGGCTTGGGTTCCTTTTCGGGAACGATTCTACTTACAATGATCTTGGTTTTGGGGGATAGTGACTTCACCGCTGTGGCTATGCCGGCTATGAGGCCACCACCGCCCACCGGCACCACCACAGCATCCGGTTCGGGCACCTGTTCGAGGATCTCCAATCCGATGGTACCCTGGCCGGCCATTATGTGCGGATGATCGTAGCCATTCACATAGAGCAGACCCTCGTCCTGGGACATGCGCATGGCCAGGGACTTCGCCTCACCCATATCGTTGCCGTCCACGATGACGCGAGCCTTGTAGTTGCGGCACTTCTGGATCTTCATGATCGGCGCCGCCTTGGGCATGACCACCGTCACGGGAATGTTCAGCTTCCAGCCATGGTAGCACAATGCCTGAGCATGATTCCCCAGCGAGGCACTGATCACTCCCGTCCGCTTCTGTTCGTCTGTTAGGGACAGCAAGGCGTACCGGGCACCACGCTCCTTGAAGCTGTCGAAACGGATGTCAAATGGATTCGGTGCTCAATCACATGTTGCTCGTAAAATCGGAAATCAATTAGCAACAGTAATTAATTTCATCCATTTAACCATATCAGCCTATTAAGCGTTATCTTATCGGATCTCTGCCTATTACTTTTTTGGCCAAGTGATAGAAATGCGTTGTAGCCGCTCAATGAATGATGTATGCATGATTAATCATAGTGGCTGTTCGAGCGCCACAGAAGATGACAACAAAATTGGAATATAGACACTTTTCTTATCAGTAGCCGGAAAATACCGCTGCCAGACAATATTCAGATGCACAATATATAGGCTATTGGCACAATACAGATTATTACAAGCAATAATAATGCCAGAGTGATCACGAACCTTGGACCTAATTTCGCAAACAAACCCCATAAAAAAAGGACGGGAAAACAGCAATCCGTAGAAAACTGTGTATATATTATACTCGTAATCGTTTGTACGAATTTTTCTAAACTTATCGGCCATTTAGGGGATTTTTTAAATCTATTTCAGGGCACAGATTACATCTATTCCTTTATATTCCAATGGATAATATAATAGAAACAGTTCCTAACTCACAAGATATTTCAATGGTTTTGTAGGATTTCCCCGATCACTCACCTGCCTGTATATTGTAGGAAATCCTTTTTCAAATAAAGCTCCATGCCATATAGATCCGAAGAAGTGGATTTCTGCAAGCCACTCACTTAATTATAGCAGACCACAATCAAAGATCAGCAGAGATGGATATTTACCGGACATGGTGTACGCTCGACTCCACCTCGGATAAGAAACGCTGCCGATGTGACATCATGGAAGGATATTTTTCGAGGATTCGCGGGATCGCAGAAGGGATCTAAGATTTCCTCCACACCACCAGAGACATGTCTAGGTCTGAGCTTCACCTCAGGGCGCTCCACCTTGCTTGCACCATTGCTGTTTCCATTGGAATTTCCATTGCTTTTCGGAACTGTCTGTTCCTTGAGCGTTTCCGTTTTTACCGCCTGCAACATTTTGTTCCCTCAAAGTTCTTCCAGCTTCTACGACTGCTTGCCGACAACTGCCTGGTGAATACTACTGAATGCTGGAATAGTCGGAACTCGTATATATAGGCAGGTCGATTAGGAGTCTCTATTGACGAGCTGATGGTCGTAAAAACGGCACCTTTACGTTTCGATTGCCTGGGGCGGCTGGTCACTTTATGAGGCCTGGCCTGGCCTGGCCTAACGACGACGCGGTGTTGATAAGAGGCGGGCTTTGGTAACCGCAAATGAAACAAAAACAACGATAAGGCTTAGATTTACTCAATTTGTAGTATTTTTGGCAACATCACCAAAAGCAGAAAGGTTCCATAACCAAATGGAAAATACGTTCAAAGTCGTTTATATAAAATGCGGGTCAGGGCGATAAGAATTGGTAGGGCCTTTCCACAGTGGAATTTTCGGAAACCTTTGAAATCCAAACATCAAATACCAAGCGATTTTGCATGCAAATGTTTTGGATTGTAGGTGATTGCGATACTTAAAGGTCGAAACTTTCATTCGGCTTTCATCTGCAGGCAGGAAAAGTTGCGCACAAGCCCCCAAAAACGACCATTAAAAAAATAATAAACATACTGGGCGATAAGACGAAACTTATGAACATTTTGTGAGTTGCTATATTTTCCAAGTTTGCCAAAACAACAGAGCTTATCTAATCCACTCGGAGATGATAAGGGATGCAGCAGTCCAAACAACATCATACAGCCCTCTTTCTAGGGATCGAATGAGAGCCAATTGGCGGGATTGGTGACAGTCATTTGCTCCACTTGCTCCAAGGTGACGCCGCGGGCAAACATGCGAGGCAGGATGTTTGTGTGGATATGATGATAGCCATGACCCCCGTAGGAAGTCTGTTGGAAAAATTGAGAATTAAAGCGATATATTTATAGGTAATGTGGCTATTTTTAGCCCACCAATCGATGCTTTGTATGAATGTCGTGGGACATGAGCAGCCTGTCCAACAGACCCTCCTCGATAAGCTTCATCAGATTTTCAATGCGCTGGCCGTCGGATATCATGTCCACATTGGTGTTTAGCTGGTAGTATGAGCACTCAGTGCCGAACAGATCGTACTGTAGGTAACAACCCAGCTCGGAGAGCTCTACCAACTGTTCAATCTTGAAAAGGGTGCCTAAAAAGATCAGTGAAAATCTCTTAAAGGTCAGTGGGAAATGGTATTATCACTTCACTTACGATCCAAATGCGACATAACACACTTCTGAGCACGACCGCCAGCCTCCAGGTACAGGCGCATGATGTCAAAAGGAGCCTGAGCATCTCGATGGGGATGGAAGGAGACGCCGCAGCCCAGAACCTCCTGGATCTCACCCGTTGCCTTGATGGAATTCTTTTCAAACTCTGCAGGGGATTACCGGTTATAAAGTGGTTCCTGGTAGTCTGTAGGGCTTACCATGAATGGGATAAACGCTGGCCACCTCCCCAATGAAGCCACACTTGACCATTTTCCCCTTGATCTCGATACCAGTCAGAATATCCTTGGTATACAAATCACTCATCTGCTCCACTGTGAGACTCGCATGACTGGCGTCCTGCACGGCATGGATATAGTGCCCGGTGCCCGCTATGAAATGGACACCCGTGCTCTTTGCCAGCTCCACAATGAACTCGAGGTTCCGCTTCAGTCCATAGCTGCTGTTTTCTACGATGCTGCCGCCGCCGTGCTTCTTGTAGAGCAGCACATCCTTCTTGGCGGCCTCGAGGGCCTCCTCATCGTAGAACCGAACATTCTCCTTGCTGGAATACGGATACAGACGAACATAGCCCAGGGTGGACATGCTAATCTTTGCCTTCAGTTCGCTTTCAAAGTCCGCCGGCGGGGGCCTGTAAAAGTGCTCGAAATCGAGGGCCACATGCTCGTGGGTGAGGGTGCGACCCAGCAGATTGGGTGTGATGCTACCCAGCACTACGCAGATGCATAGGCAGTGGAAATTTTCATGGAGATAAGCGTCAAATCCGCTCTTATCATAATATATACTCCAACAACTTACCGGTCTCTACCGCAGTCATGTTTGCAGCCTTCTATTTGGGTCACACTCTAGCAGGAGCTTCTATTTTTAGATAGCTCGTTTAACCTGTTGGCGTCCGAGCTCCCCGACTTTCCAAGAGCAACTGATCGGATAAAACCCCAGCGGGGCTTCGTGGTGAATAATTCTTTACAGTTGCTCTGCTTTGTTCTCGTAGATCATAAATACTCGTACATACATATGTATACCAGTGTGGGTATTGTATTCCACAATCAGAGATTGCAATTGCGTCTATTATCTCTTTTAAGTGCAATTAAAGTCGTGATGATATGGCTCTGTAAACTGGAGAAGATGTGTTCTAGGGGCTGTTCTACTGTACTTGAGAGAGAGTTCAATGGCTGCAATGGATGCTAAGATCTATTCTGGTGCTGTTACTATATGTATGTCAGCCCTCCAATAGTTCCCAAAAAACGATTACCTAACTCAGTTATAACATCTTTATTTCTACTCAACCACCATATATATATAATAGCATACAAAACCATCATCAGCTCCTATCAAAACCATACAAAAACCCTCTCCAAAAACTTCTGCTCAATCAAAAGACTTTAGTTGTTTATATTTCTCAGAATAATTCTCTTTATTAGTTCCATTTCTTTCCGTGTTTTTTTTTTGTTTGTTTGTATTTTTCTTTTAATTTTACTTAGTTTTTAGGTTTATCAGTTTTAGCAATTTCTCATTTATCAGATATATAGTCTATATATATATATACTCATTTTAACTTAAGTTATATTCATTTGTTAATTTCATGACATTGCTGCTGCTACCTTCATCCATTTCAACTGTTATATCTTTTGTATATATATCTATATATATATATATATTTCCATATCGATTCTCCTTAAGATCTAAGCACATCGCGAATAATCTGTCAAATATTGTATCTTTTATTTTGTGTGTGTGGGTGTGTGTTTTTCTAAGCCAATCTTGATTACAACTTAAGTTTTAAGTGATTCCTTTTGTTGTTATCTAAATTATTATTGTTATGAAGGTTTTTTGTTTTGTTTTCGATTTACATAAACGACTCTATAAAGAAGTAAGCACGCAAAACTGCTTGCATTATAATATTTCGTTTTGTTGAGTTTTGTTTTGTTTTTAGGTAGTTGCTGAGTTTTGCTTTTGAACACTTGCTGTGACTTTAGTTAGGTTATTACTATTGCATCGAGAGAGCGAACCTCCTGCCCGGCCCCCACATAATCTGTCATAAAAATAAACCTCTATGCGACCCATCCTTCCACATCTCTCCGGCTCTCCAGCTCCCTAGCTCTCCCGCTCTCCATATCTTTTCTATATATCCTACTTAGCACCTGGGCCTGGCTTCGGGTCTGGGGTTTTCTTTTTTTTCGAATTGATAAATTGGTTGTTAGGCAAACGGAAGAAATTCAAATAAAACATTCACTTTCTGCAGGTTTTTTTTCAAAATAATTTAATTGCCATTTATTGAACATTATATCCAGTTAGCTATATAAATTTTCGCAATTAATTTCTTGATCTTTTTAATGGTTTTTTGTGGTTGCTGTTTGCGGTTGTTTTTGTTTTTGTTGTTTGTTGTTTGTATCATCTATGTTTTTTTTTATTGTATTTGTTATGCATTTGTTTTACGTTTAATTAAAATAGTTTTCGCTCTTATATATAGGCCCAGATCTGAGGCTGAGGCTCGTATATATGTATATGTATATATCTATTTTCTATTTAGATTTTCTAGCTTTACCATTTCTCTGTGTTAATTATATGTTCAGTTTTAGACCCCACACTCTGCTGCGGCTTCTCCGAGTACTACCCCGTCGATTCACCGCCTCTAATTACAGTTACACATTAGTACAATATTTATATATATAGTATATATATATATATATATAGATGTTCCGCATAAAGTATTGGATATTGGTTTCCATTCATAATTCATATTCAAATTGTTCACTGTTGTATATCCCATTCATACGCTTACATCGACTAATTTCGTTTCGATTCTACTCTCAACAAAACACTCAAAAGAATCAATCAAACAATCAATCAAATTCGGCTAGCAATTGCAAAAAGATTTAACACAAATGGAGATGTTAAAGGTCAAAGGATAAATCGGGAAGATCTGGGGGGTGTAATCGGGTGGTGTGTTACGTGTTTGTTACTGTTTGTTAAGCTTATAAGCGCAAAAGTGACTAAGAGGTGCACACAACAAACAAAAAAACATATTTAATAATTATAATAATAATTATGAGAATAATAATAATAATAATAATAATAAAGAATTACTAGAGTAAACGTTGGTTAATTATAATTAAAATTTATTACGCGTATAATAATTATTTGCCTTTCACTTTTAAAAACACAAATTCAACTAAAGCAGTGTAAATTATAATAATTTGATAGACTAAGAACTAGGCACAAACAAAAGAGCGGTTCGAAATAGGTTTTCAGATAATTTAAAAATATTGTAAGTGTAAAAATTCTATTTAAAATTGTGTAAATTTGATTCGTTTTAGTTTTAGTTGTTTTTTTCTCAAAATTCCCCTTCTTTGTGTCTGTGTTTGCATACAATTTTACTAATTAATTTTATAGAATTTGTTTAATGAATTAAATTATGAATTATATATGTACGTACGAGTAAATTGTCGCCTTAAATCGTTTGTTGCGAAAATTATATTTAAAATGACATTTTGCTGTTCTTCGATTTACAATTCTTTGCAGTTTACCGTGTCTCTATACATCTTTAAAAATTATATTGAAGTTGGTGTTTTATAGGTTGCTCTTTTTTGTACAGTTGTGGTTGAAACTATTATTCTTGACTTGAAACGCTTTTCAGGGGATACGGGATAACCTACCTAGAACCGAACTTAAGAATCCCCTCCAGAGAGAGATCAGATCCCTCGATCAATGAGTAGATAGAAGGGCTGCTCCAAAAACGAGTGCACCTCTAGCTAGAACTGATCTGCGTGATCCTATTTACATATGTATAAGCTCATAAGACATAACATCTCTTCAGTTTTCAGGATGTTTATGGTATGAGCTCTTCTGCCGGAGCTCTTTTTTCTCAGTTCTTTGTGTGCCAAGAAACGTATGTATATTAGGATCTATATATTATAGGATCTGTTGGTCGTGGGGAGAATTTCAATTGAAAAATCAAAATTTATTGCATATTTCCATTTTTTTTGTTTTTGTTTTGTTATTGGTGTAAGTTTAGTTTTTACTCAAAATATTTTGCTTTGTTTTCGTAGGGGGTTAACAACACAATTTATCGCTAGATTTAAATTTATTTTTTGCATATAATAGTAAAAATTGATTTGAATAAAAGTGGTTTTTGTTTTTGTTTTGTTTGTAAATTATGTACTACAGAATGAAGAAGAAAGCAAAGATTAAAAGGGGGTTTCCTTATGTTTTTGTTGTTGTGTATGCAAGTATTTTTTGTTTTGTTTTAAGTTTTAATATAAACAAAGAAAAAACTAAATAACGCTTAAAGCAATAAAACCTAAAGACGAACCATATATATTTATTGTATTTTTTGCATTTTTATGTTTGTTTTTAAGCGGATTTCTTGGTAATTCCTACTACAAATATATATATATACTCGTAGAATATGTGTGTGGGGTGTATGTTCGTGTTGCATGGTGAAAGAAAACTATGCGATTGACGACAGACACATCCTACCCTATATATATATGTAGAATTAGTTGTAGATATAGTTTACGTTTATGCATATCATCATATATATATATAATTCATCGAAAAAATCAAAATCAATTCAATTTTATGTTAGACTTTTGTTTTGGGGCGTGGAAGTGGAAGTGTGGGGGGAGTGGTGTTGGCCATTGGTAGTAAAAACGAAGAAAAAACGCCGCTTGCACTGCATTTGCCTGCTTTGATTCACTAATTAATTATAATAATTATTAATTATATCTCTATATATATATATATATGTATGTATAGGGAGTTTCTTATGCTCCAAGTTGCTTTACACTTTAACGCGCTCCTCATCTTTCTCTATCTTCCTTCCTTCCTTCTCGCTCGCTTCTCTCGCACATTATCGCTCTCTTTCCTCTAAATATGTTTTTAGCATGGTCGTGGATTTTTAGCAAAATGTTCATCCTCTTCTTCAGGTTTTTGTTTTTTTTTTTTACACTTTTTTTGTTTGTGTTTTGAGGGTTTTATGTTTTTTTACGCTTAAATTTTGAATCTTTTTGTTTTTCTTTGTTTTCTTTTTTATAATACATATACAATAATTTTAATTATATAATATTTGTTGTTTTTTTTTCTGTTTTTTAGTAGCTGATAATTAAGAATTGAGAAAGAGTTGGTTGTTGTGTGTTGGTTGTTGAATTTTTTGAATGTGTTTTGTGTTCTTCGAATTTTCCTTCCTTTTTTCTTTAGATTTTGGTTTGCAATTGAATTTTGCTTAGTACTTGTTCTTTTTTTATAGTTTTTTATTATTTTAAATTTTTTTTAATACACTTCAACAAATTACAAAAAACATTCGACCCACATTGTCTGAAAAGGCTGTTGTTGCTGTTGTTTCGTTCTTCAATAACGTGAAACAATTGTTGTTGTTCTTGTTGTTGTTGTTTGTGTGTGTGCATTGCTGTCATTGCATATTTGTTGCAAGTGTTGAATGTTTTTGCTGTTGCTGTTGCTGTTGCTGTTGCTAAATACAAACAATTTGCAAAATGGTGTTTTTCTTTGTTGGTGGAGCAAAACAAAAGGGGCTCCAAAACGACGTGGCGAAGTCTGGCTCCAGCAGAAGCACTCAATCTTGTGCAGAGGCTGTTGTTGAATTTCTTTTGTTGCTGCTAGCGCTGCTACGTGTCTGGTTCAATTCGTAGTCCCTGCTCGCACTGCTCCTGCCTCACTGAGATGATCCGATCCTGATCGCCCGGGGCTGTTGCTCTTCCCTTTTTTGTTGTTGCTCCAGGTGTACTTTATGCGTGGTATTTGGTTATCGTTTCTCTTCTCTGTACTATTGTTTGGCTTTCGGCTCTCGCCTTTCGCTTCTTTTACAATTATAATTACATTAATTTTTTATAGTACTACTCTTCCGTGTGTGTGTGTGTGTATATGGTGTGTTTGTGTTTGTGTGTGTGTGTGTGTGGTGGTAGGTTTTTGTAGATTTTGTTACAGCATAGCATTTTATATACTATATATATCATTATGTGTAGGGGGATTGTGGTTATTATCATTCTACGGCTACTGTTACTGTTTACTGTTACTGGCACAATATCTCGCAAAATTCAAATCTTTTGAATTTTCTCGCCAACGACAACCGGATTGTTGCGTCGAATCTCCTGTGCACCGTGCTCTCTATAATCGAATGTGCAGTTATGTTTATCAGAATAACGATGCACAGCGCAGTATAATCCGCCGCAGCGACATTGAAAACCTATCCGAAAAGGAAGGGGGAAAACATATATATATTAGAAATGAAACTCAATCATATCTCAACACTCTACTCACCAGTCAGTCCAACCTTTTTGCGGCATTCGCCACATCGGTTCTTCTTCTTTTTGGCATCCTTATCATCTTCCTTGTCCTTGTCATCCTCCTCGTTGGCGGAGGCGGCTGCTTGTGTGGAAGTATTTGGACCGGTCGCCGATGTGATGGCTTCAGTATTGACTTTGGCAGCAGCAGCAGCGGCGGCTTCTACGATGATTTTCTGCAGGCAAAAGGAAAAGGAAAATAGAAGTGGCATTTTAATCACATGAACATATGACAGAACACTATCATAGAAAACTATCCCTATAAGCCCTATAACAATGCTAATACTATGTACTTTCTGTTCTTCCTCCTCCAACTGCATTCAAAAGCCTTGAAGATCTTTTTTCGAATCAGTTTTTCTCGTTTCGGTTTCTTTTATTATTCTATTCGACTGCTTTATCAAGTTTTTCTCGATGTTTGGTCTCCGCCGAGTGTTGATGTTGTTGTGTGTCACAGCCAGAACTGCCACAGTTGCAGTGGCATCAACTGGGCGCCCAGCCAAAAATTCCTAACCCATTCGATTCGTAAATATGTGTTTGGTACAGAAAAAGAGAGTGATCCCTCGCTGTCGTTGTGTTCTTGTGTGTTGGGGGGGTAGGAGGGATGTTTACCGCCCGCTTCGATGGCACAGCAACAGGAACGTTTAACGGGAATTCCTTGGTATCATGTGGCTTGGTATCCCCTGGCGTGGGCTTTCGCTTTGGACTGCTATCGACGATATCCGCCGTGTCTTGTTCCAAATCTAGACGGCGCTTCTGGTTATGACGCTCCGGTTGCTCGCCCCCCTCGGACTTGTCCATGGCTTTTGCTGCGTCGATGAGCGCTCTTTGGACTGGTCTCCGGAGTGGTCTTCCTGCGGTGGACACCTGCGACTGGAGTGTGGCCCAGACGGGAGGGGGTTGCTGTACGCAGCTTGCTGTTGGCCTGTCCCTTCGCAGGACAACGTCCCTTCTCCTTAGCGGCGCTGAATATAACGCTGCCACTCGGATACCTGGTATTAAATAGTGCTGCCGATGGAGGAGTTGCAATCCTCTTTTTTACACTAATGGGATGTGCTCTTGATCCTGATGCAGCAGCAAGCCTTTTCCTGGGAATCCTTGGCGCCGCTTGCACATTTACAATGTTGCCGGGCTGTTTGACGTCATGACCGGACCTAGATCCTGCGATGCCGATGCTGCTCAGGCCAAAGCCAACGCGGCCTTCGCTGAGGATGCCACTGCCGCCCTCCTTGCGCGTTCGATTACGCTTCAGCTTCTTCACGCGCTTCTTCAGCTGCAGTTCGCCGATGCGCGACGACTTCTTGGTGGGTGTCAAGGGGAAGGTATGCACATTGGCCGAGAACTTGACCCGACGCTTGGCACTGGCGTCGATGACCTTGCCGCCGCCCACCTTGCGTGACAGCGAGCTCTTCTTGAGGGCCGAATGGACGGACACTATGTTCGGGGCGCTGGCACTAGAGCACGTCTTGGCAGAAGGAACTTTGGCAACAGACGTAAGGGGGGTATGTACGGCAGAGACTGTTCCCCTGCGAAGTGGAGGCGATCGTTGGAACTCTTGGCCTGCAGCATCGCATCGAAACGGAGGAGAGAGGTGTAGGTGGGAAAGGAGGTTAGTGCCGCCGGGCGGCGCCAATAGATCCAATAACCGCAACAATCAGTACCGTTGGCCGACAGCAGCTTCGGGGTTTGGGCGCCCGTGCCCGCACCCCCAATTCCCAAAGTGGAGACGCGTCCCGTGTTGATGCCCATCGTTGCAGCTCCCAGGCTCCCAGCAATCCTTCCGCCCAGCGCCAGGGCCCCCGCTGCGGAGCGGGGATTGCGGCTGATGCGCCGCGCATTCAGAGCCGTCGAATCGATCGCCGAGATACCACTTGTCCGCAAGGGCAGGCGATTGATAGCACCACAGCTACTGGCCTTGCCCTTGGGCTTTGATCTGTGTAAACCACTACCGACGACCATTGCTGGGAATTTTGAAATTGGAATTTTTTTTATGGAAAATCGAAATTTTGATTCAGAGCCTAAAATGAATATTTGCAAGGGTCAAGTACAGAAAATGTCAGGCAAGGATTGCTGGGATCCCACGATTCAAAGTGACACTAAACCGAACAAAAAGGTAATGCGAGTGGGTTCTGCGAAGTTTGTCGATGTATCCGTTCGCTTATGGGATCTTTTTACTGCGAATCAATGTCTTTCGCTTAGTGAGAGATCAATAGATCATCTCTACAAGTCTTTTAAGCTCCACCATCTTGGGAGAATAGCTTATATGCAGATACGTAGATGCTTTGCTTTATCTTAGTTCAATCATATTTCATGTTTATAATGCATTCTCATCTGGTGACTTAGAGAATACTCCTTATATCTTTGGCCTTTTGCGGGAGTCCCATTCTTTTCAGTTTAATGTCACTTCGTAGGGAGCTTCTTTGGGCGTCTTTAGGCGTCATTGGGCGTCTTTTGGTGCCGGGCAACGGAGCGCAAAGACGTGAAATCATAACCTTACCTTCTGAACAGCTCCAAGTGGGTAGCTCCCACGGTGTAGATCATATAACACATAAAATTAACACAAACGAAACACGAAACAAAATAACAAAATAAACAAACTGAGAAAGGCAGACACAATGGGTCGTCTACACTTGAATCCCCTTTGGGTTAAACAGACAACGAATTTGTTCTACAACTTGACTAAAATAAACACTGAATTTATATCCGAAAAGCAATAATTTTTGCAACAGATTTTGTGATAGACTGACGACTGTGAGAGAGAATCTACATCTAATGAAAAATCTTTGCCTACAAATTCAAAGCCTACATTTGTCATCTGAAAATATATTTGTATATTTGTGGAGTGGCCCAAGTGATCCCGATCGCTCCAGAGTGCGTAGTGAGTGTGTAGATCCGCTGTGTGTTGCGTCGGCACTCACCTCTTTGACATCATTGTGTGGCTGTTGTAAGCTGGTAACTGTGGGCTGTGCGGTGTTGGTGATTGCAATGGCCGGACTGAATGTGGGGCTAGGCTGTGGGCTTGGAACCGAGACAGGTGTACTGCTCACAGGTGGCTGTTGCTTTTTTCTAAGCGAGTCCTGCATAAACGATATCTGAATTAGTTTGTTCTCATCGATTGATGCGGTACTTACCTTGTAGCACACCGAACAGAGCCCATCTGTGGCTGGGTTACCATAGAAGCCGCAACCAGAGCGGCACATGGGTTGCATTGGATTCGATTCACGTTCCATGGCTGAAGCTACAGTGCCTCTATTTGTCTGCGCAATTGCGAGCGAGTGTCTTGGCTGTTTATTATTTTTATATCTTCACTTTCGCCCAGCGAAGTTCCGTTTGTTTGCTGCTGACTGTTGAGCGGCAGCCGACTGCTCCTTTCCTTCCTGCACTCTACTCTGTCAGTCGTGGGTGTGTGTGTGGAAGCGTGTTGATTCGTCGCCGTTAATATTTTTACTGTTGCTTTAACTGTTTTGTTAATCAGTTCGTCCAATTATCCAGGCTGACTGCGGCTTCCTCTTGTAGTTTTCGCTTCGTGACTGTGGATATGCTGCAATCTCCAGGCAGATTTTGTTGCAACCGTAGACTGTAAAAAACGAAAAGGGAAGAAAAACAGTTAGTCATGCACATCGATCGATATCGTTAGGAAACCATTGATGGGCGATATTTTCGAACGAAATGGAATTGGAAAAAGGTACTTCGCGATTAAGTTACCAAGATAATTACAGTTAGATAAGCAAACCCAGAATGTTGTATGTAAACGTTCTATACATTTCGAAAGTAAATATGGATATGAATGAAATGTATAGAAAAGAACATACGACCGTGACGTTTTGAGAGAGAATAGTATCCAAATATCATCCATATAAGGGGCAAAAATTTTTGTTGTGCTCGACACAAAAATAAACGACAAATATCGCCTGGGAAGGTGCCGTGCCGCTGCAGCACCCCACCCAAGTGCAACAAATTTTCGCCTTGCATTACAAAACACTCAATGAACAGAGGCAGACCTCACACCAAAAAAAAAAAAATGTTGCAACAACAAAACAAGCAAAACTATGTTGTTTTTTTATTATCTTCTCGTGTTTGAGTGTTTGCTCTCTTCAAGGCTGTCTCAGTCATACCACACACACACACACTTGCACACAACCAGAGATACAAAAGAGAGACAAAAAAAAGACGAAGCTTAAACCAGTTCCCACAACAACTGGTCACACTAGAGAAAGAGCGGGACAGAGACAGTTAGTGAAGAAAAAAGAGGCAGTAGTAAGAGGTAGTAAATTAAACGAGTTTTGTTTCATGTTTTAATGAATTTAAAGCAGCTGCACCTCCTAACGGTAACACACATACACACACACACACACGTAACAAACATTTGTAGTATGTATATTTTTTTGTAGCCAATTGTTGATAACAATCGCAAGTATCGATATCATACCCATTGCGATCACTTTACTTTCGCAAAGCCAGGCTTTGACGGACGTGCCATCCATCACGGGGAAGAGAAAACGCAGATTACGAGAGAAACCCCAAAGAGTAAAAGCAAAATGGTAAACGCACATCAGCACACAAAAAGGCAGCCATCAGACGAAAGAGAGATAGGCAAAGGGCGAAAGAGTGGGAGAGGAAGAGAGCAAAGAATGAGCACAATTATGTTTACTGTTATTTTCAATGCGACGCTGCTGGGAGCCAGAATTGAAATGGGCACACGCACACACTTGTACAGCTTTGAGCGCGCTTGCGAGTGTGAGTTCTGTTATACTCAAATTGACCTTAGTGGTGAATGTTATAGTGAATAACATACATTCAAAAGCTAGCCAGCGGCTAGCAGAGGCCCACTCACACACGTCTGGGGCATAAATTTCAAGAATTTATTACGTCCAATCCAGGAGGGGGATCCCTCTATTGCACAACTTTTGGTCGAAACTTTTACCAACACTCCATACACACACACACACAGACAGGGTGTAGCTGGAGCGTTGTGGTTGTGTGCGACCGCAGCAGAGAGACGACTTTTACATTTACAACGTAGCATGGGGAGTATTTTTTTTTTTTTGTTTCCTCAAGCCACCACAACAGCGACGCCAGCAGAGCTCTGTGACAGCGATGGTGGATTTTACTTTTACATGGAAGGGGGCGAACCATATGGAAGGCGAGGAGGCAACTGTCGCAGTCGCTGCAGATGTTAACGTTGGCAGAGACGCTTCCCTGTTTGTATTGCATTTACAATATAAATTTTACATATGTATGTATGTATGTACATGCTCTGCTTGGTTGCTGCTTTGCTTGGGCGCAGAAATAAATAATTTGTTCCTCCTTTTTCTCCATTTTGTATGCGTACAAGTTTAATTATGATTTATAGTTTTACTCCAACCATCGGAAACTATGTAAATATACTATTATACATATGTTTGTCTGTCTGTTTGTTTGTGGGTTTAGTTGATTTCCTGCCGTTTGCCATTTAATTGCAAAGACAAAACAGCTGTCCGTCACTCTTACACACACAAACAGTATGACAGAGGTGACATGTAAAGCCAATGGGGAGAGAGAAAGAGATAAAACACACACAATGTTAAGGCAGGGAAGAGAGAGACATGACACACAGGCCAAGAGTGACAGAGGGAGGAAGGTGGTCATCAAAATGTCAACAACAAAACCAAAAAATTCCCCACACAACAATTGGCAGCGGAGAGAGACAGAAACAGGCACCACCGCCAGCCAGCGTCACAGAGAGAGCACACTCACACACATTTAGGTAGTATGTACACACACGTATGTATGTATATTATACATACAGACGTCAACAAGCACGCGCGGCTGCTGCGCCTAAAGTTTTGTTTTTTTCTTTTTCGTCCAATGAAATCAACAAGAATAAAAGTTGTGTAGTATATCTATGCATGTATGTACATACTTCTCTATATATTTCAACATATGTTTGCTTGCTGCCTATAGTTTATTTATTTTGTTTTGTGTGTAGACTTCGTCTTCCGTTTTTGCTAGCTATTTTTAAGCGCAATACGCTCATAATCTCAAGATACTAGGAAATCATATGAACCGTTCAGCCATCAAGCAGTGTCGTCACTGTTTTGCTCAGTGTGACGTCATTAGCGGCTGCTGTCACATATCAAGAGATAAAGAGGTGGAGCGAATGATAGGCCAAATGCGCATTTGTGTGAGTTGCATAAGGAATAACAGCAATCACAACGGAACAGGCGTACAAAGAGGAACAACTAAAGCAAAACCAAAAAGTGCCAAGTGCGAACAAATTAGCAACTAAGAAATTGGCGCGTGGGGGAAAAATAAACAGCAAACACTATACAACACTACACACATTACGCAAGTCAAAGGCAGATAACAAATGAAAGGAATGAACGAACAAAAGAATACCCCCTATTATGTACACCCCCCACCATGCGACTTATTGATAACGCTCAATAGGGTATAGACAAGTCGAATACCATAGAAGGAAAGGAAAACTCTGTCACAAGGCATGTACATATGCATGAGAGGTGAGCCTCTCCTTTCTTTAAGAAACACATTTTAGTTTCATAGAATGATGATCTCTCTATAAGGTAGCCCCGCCGAACCCCATAGATGTGAAAACTCTGATAAACTGGACTCACACATACACCCACCCATACAGGTTAATGTGCTGTTGACCTGCATTCAAAAATACTGAAATTTACAACAGGAAAGACCCAAAACAGAGAGATGATGATGATGATGGGCATACAACAACCATATAAAAGGTAAGGGAGAGAGAGAGAACACCAAGTAAGAGAGTGAGAGAGATAGAACCCCCGTGCTGACTCACATTTGCATATTAATAAGCGAGCAGCAGGGCAAGCGGAGCAGACAACCGACAAAAAACAACAAACACATGTACTATATGTTGATGAAATGCAACAAAGACACAACATCAGGCTCCGAAGCGCGCATTGAATTATTAAACTTTATTAAAATGTGCGCAAAAGGAGCAGAGGAGAGCGAGAGACAGGCACACAGCAAGATGGCCGCCCAAAGGCAGCTCAACGAAAGCTGAGAGCTGAGAGCTAAGCTCTGGCCTGAGCTTTAAAACGGCCAGTTGCCGTTCCCGTCTCAAGAATGCACAGAGCTTCCGGTCACGGTAGAAGCGACTCGAGAAGTAGAAGCAAAAGGAGAAGAGAAGCCATAGCCTTTATGACAATTACTTAAGGGCAAGATAAGGTCGGTGGGGTACAGCTATGTATATGCGGTGTATGGGAAACCAAAACTAGTGGGAGGGATAGGTAAGCTTTTATGCTGGAATTAAATTTCTTCTCCGACGAATCAACTGTGTATCCGTGCAGTTTCTGCATTTGATAAAGAAATGTATACCTGCATGAACAATAGTGTAAACACCGACAACAACAAATGGCCGATCGTTTTACATCACTTGAGCTATGAAATCAGGTGTTTTTTTAGCACTTCCAGCTGCAGGCATAACAGAATATAAATCAGAAGTTTATTTAAGAAGGTATTTATTTGTTTTTCAACCTTTTTCAAGAGTCAAGTGCGAAGATATTATTACAAAAATTCCACTTGGAGCAACTACAATACTCCAACAACAGGCAGGCAGTTATTTTCTCGGGAAGCAGTACAAATTTTTGATATAGCTGCACTGCTTTAATGAATCAATATCATTTCCTTTAAATGTCTTCACTGTTCAACGACTCAGCCTACGACTAAAAATGGAAAACACCATACGCACAATCAATCAATGTTCCAGATAGGAGAAATACCAATTGAATTGCTTCCAAAATTAGAGTTGAAAGCAACAACAAAAACAATAAATGTGGAATATAACGGCAATTGGTTGGCCTCCAGCGAGCAAAAGAGGAGGACCCACTAGAGAGGAGAATCAGAGACGAGGCACGAGAGCGTGCCGCCCATCATTAATCAAAATAAATTACAAACTAGGAACGGGGGGCGAGGGAGAAGGAAAAAAAAGTGATATGACGACTACATTTTGTGAAGCAAAACTCTCGGAACTGAGAGGCTTCGGACCAAGGAGTGTTATTTTCCACATAATAAATGATCGCACGAATGGGCGGAGGAGACCGTCGAGGAAGAGGATGTGGGACCCAGACAGCTTTGATGCTCCACTCTACCTTTGAGCTCCATGTTTCCGGCGATTTTGTTGCGAAAAATTATTAAAACTGAAAGAACACCCCCCGAAAAGTAATATGAAATAAGACTCATGAACAATTCATGGATGGATGAAAAGGTCTGGCCTTTCAGACACCGAGGAGTGGCTTAGGATTAAACGAAAACCACAACGAAGAATCGCATGGAAACACCTGTTCAAAATTACACACAAGACGAGAGAGAGAGAGAGGCAGCACACAAAATAAGTTACCATGAGCACGCCGATGATGTGCGATAGGTCAAAAAACTCTCCAGGAACGCGTGCACTTGAATGTGGTATAGTCAATGGATGGAACGGAATGGATATGTGGTGCACTCAGCACATAGGGGATGGAAGGAGAGAGGGTTTATTGATTTGTTTTGTTTTGTTTTCGGGGAACAGAAGGGAGAACGGAACATGGAACCGCAGAGAGCTGTGCG